GAGAGCTAAAACTAACAAAATACTAGAATTTCATCACTAAACCTTGAGCACGGACATCATGGATTACACAGTAAGCCCTAAAATTAGATTAAAAACACTCCCACAGGTAACAACAGCACATGCATGATCCAGTTTAATGACTCAGAGTAGTGAGGCCTGGTCAGGACGTGTCAATTAATGTGGACAGAGCTCTGAAGAATCATCCAGATGAACAAAGTAAAAGACCAAAAAAATAATAATAATCAGCCTTCTCAGAGCTGTTATGAAGAAGGAAACTATTCATAGAGGCCAAAAGCATTTCTAAACCAGACTGTAAATATGCTGCATGCTATGGCTGGGTAATCAATCAAAAATCATTCAGAACCTCTAACGGACGAAATCTTGCTCAAGTCACTATGGGTTTTTCTTTTGTTGTTGTTATTGTTATTCTTCTGTATAAAGCGCAGTAACATTATTTTTAGACTGCAGCCAACATGAATAAAGTTGTTTCAAAGAATCTGCATTTCTTACTGAAGCTCTGATCCAAATGCTGTAGAGCCTTTTTTTGGAGTATTTCAAGTTGCTATGCATCAATACAACCATTATATCCCAAATTTTAATAATAGGTATGCATTAAGTCCATAGTAACTACTAGGGGTGCAACAATACTCGTATCGATATTGAACCGTTCGATACAGTGCTTTCAGTTCAGTACGCATATGTATCGAACAATACAAAAAATTTTATTTATTTTATCAACTTTTCACTATGGGCTCAAAATGTGGTCATAAATATTTTGTACTTGTAAATCAGTTTAGTATGTGTAAAAAGAATTTGTGTGTGCGTAAAAAAGATTTGAGCGTGCGTAAAAAAGATTTGAGTGTGCGTAAAAAAAGATTTGAGTGTGCGTAAAAAAGATTCGAGTGTGGATTTAGCCAAAAAAAACCCTGCAAGTTACAAGTACAAATTTTGACCCTATTTTTCTTCCTTTCATCTGATTGGTCAATGTCATGTCAATCACAAATGTAACAATCCAATCAGAGAACAGATGGGTTTGGCTGTCGGAGGGGCGCTTTTTTTTGAACT